GTATGTAAGTGCTCCCTCCTCAAATTTCCCTGAGCACTTTGCCTGGTTCTGTCCTCTGCACGTATTTCAGACTCTTTCGTATCATATGATTCATGTACCTGCCCTGCCCTCATTAGGTTATAGATGACTGCTTGGGAACAATGTCTGTATTATGTTGGTGCTGGTATTTCCAGTGCTACGGAGGCACAGGAGGCGGGCTGGGTGGCTCAGTGGAGAAAGCACTAAGCCTGAAAACTTGAGTTCAAATCTGGCCTCAGACTCTCACTAGCCGTGTGACCCTGGACAAGTCACTTCACCTCTGTTTGCTTAATCTACTGGAGAAGGAAATGGTAAACACTCTAAAATCTCTGCCAAGAAAACCGCATGAACAGCATCGTGTGCTACAGTCCAGGACTCATAGAAGAGTCAAATAGGCTGAAAAACAACAGAAAGTGCTAAGAGGGTCTTGCCTGTAGCACATACTTATTACCTACTTGTTTCATTGGATTAAGCTACTAGTTTTAGTTAGAAGGGACATCAGGGGTCATCTAGTACAACATCTAGTACAACTCCTGACTCAAAAACTAATTGCCACCCCTTTACCATAAGCAGCTATCCACCCAGTGGAGATGAAATACCTCCAGTGATGGAAAGCTTATTACCTCCCAAGGCATTCTGTTGTTTAGTTGGATTGTGCCAAGTATTATGAAGATCTTTCTCATTTTTAAGGCAGAATATGACCTGTACTTTGCTTCCAAATATACCACCATTTATTCTGTCCTGGAGAATTTTCTGGCCAGTCCCATTCCCCTAAGTGACTTTGGATAAGTCATTTAACTTCCCGGGGCCTTAGTATTACCAGCTCCTAATCCCATACCTTATGCCTAGTAGGCACTTAATGAAAGTGAAATTTAATTGCATTCAATTAGCAGTCAACAAGCATTTCCAAAGCCTCTGTTATGGGCTGAGCACTGTTCTAGGCACTGCTCACACAAAGACAAAAATGAAAAAGGTCTTGTTCCCAGAAAGCTTATAACAGGGGAGACAATATGAATGTGTATACACACAAAAAAAAATATGCATATACATATATGTGTGTATGTCTATATGAAATAAATCCAAAATCAATTCGAGGTAGTCAAGCAGGGGAAAGCAGCCATGGAGGGGCCAAGGTCTACATGTAGAAGGTGCTGTTTGAGCTAAATTTGTCAATCAGTCAGTCAATAAACATTAAGCACCTACTATGTGTCAGACAGTGTGCTAAGGACTAGGGATACAAAAGGAAGCAGAAGACAGCCCTGACCTCAAGGACCTCTAAATCCAGTGGGGGAGACAAGAAGCAAAACAAATCTATACAAAGCAAGCTATATACAGGATAAATATAAGAGAGGGAAGGAAGAATTAAGAGAGGTGGGGTCACACTTCCTGTAGAAGGTAGGATTGGAGCTAGGACTTAAAGGAAGCCAGGGAAGGTAGCAGGCAGAGATGAGGAGGGAGAATGTTCCAGGCCTGGGGTTATGGAGAGCAGCCAGTAAAAATCCCCAGAGCCGAGAGACGGAGGGTCTTCTTTGTGAAACAGCCAGGAGGCCGGTGTCGCTGACTCAAAGAGTACCTGGTGGGGAGTAAGAGGTAAGAAGGCTGGAAAGGTAGGCAGGAGCAGGTTAGGAAGGGCTTTGAATGCCAAACACAGCATTTTATATTTGATCCTGGAGGCAGTAGGAAGCCACTGGAGTTTATTGAGAAAGGAAGTGACCTGGTCAGAGCTGTGCTTTAGGAAGATCACTTTGGTGGCTGAAGGGAGGATGGAATGGAGTGGGGAGACACTCAAGACAGGCAGAGCCACCAATAGCTGTTGCATTAGTCTAGGCAGAGGTGATGAGGACCTTCACCAGGTTGGGGGCAACATCAGAAGAGAGAAGGGGGTGTATTGGAGAGATGCTGCGGAAGTAAAATCAACAGGCTGTGGCAACAGCTTGGACGTTGGGGGTTAGGGACAGTGAAGAGGCAAGGATGACACCCAGGTGTTGAGCCTAGGGGTCTGGGAGGATGGAGTCTTGACAGCATGAAGCACCAAGGGGTAGGAGACAAAGTAATGGATTCCAAGTCAAGAAGACTTGAGTTCCAGTCCCACCTCCAAAACTTATTAGCTGTGTGACGCTGGCCAAATCACTTAACTTCTTTTAGACTTCATTTCTTCACCTATAAAATGGGAATATTAATCTACCTACTTCACCTAGCAGTTGTGAGGATGAATGAGATAAGAATAGGAACCGACCTGTAATTTCATTGGTATGGGGAACTTCCAGGTAAGCAAACTCTTCTTACAAAAGCAAGTTGGCACCTTCTGTGCGATTTATCATCTTGGAAAATTTAACTAGAACACTGAAAAGTTAAGGGACTATTCCAGGATAACAGAGCCCAGTATTGATGTAAAGCCCTTTTCAAACCTTAAAGTGATGTATAAACATTAGCCATTATTGCAGAAAGAAGTAAGGGACTATGTGAAGCAGAGAAGAGGAAAGACATTCTAGACTTGGGGAAGATCTAGCTCAAAGGCAAGGAGGTGAGTCTTGGGGTACTTTGTGTGAGGAATAGTCAACCGGGCATTTATTAAGTACCTAGACACTTCACTACAGTACTGGAGATAGAAATACTACAGCTAAAACAATTCACGTTCTCAACAAGTTTATATTCTAATGGGGCAGGGGGGGAGACAAGAAGGAAGGGGGGGAAAGCCAGTTTGGCTGAAGCAAATCTATCACCATTTTAATTTTATCCATTTTTCTTGGCCCAGATTCCCTAACCCTAGCACTTCTCATCATGCTTTGGCAAGACAGAGCTTTCCTTCCCCAGCCTCAGTACAAAAATGCCCAGGTTTGGCCTGTTTTGTCCTAGCACTGAATCCGAAAATGGCTCAAATCCTGACGTTGAAGAAATTGGCTTTTGAAGGAGATCGACAAGATGAAGGCCCTAGCTGAATTCGCAAAATGGTCGGCTCTTGTTGGGGCCAATAGGAAAATGTTTCAGGATTTGTTTCCCCATAGCTTTTAAGATTTAACCGATGTGTGACTCAGGCCAGAGCAAGGCTAATTTACAGACAATTCCCAGAGCCCAATGTAATTTAGAGATGAAGTGAAGATTCACAGACAAGACCAAAGTGGAATATTTGGCTATTAGGTTAGCTGCTAAAATACTCCCTTGTGCCAGGGCCCAGGGATGGATTTGGAGAGTTTCCTGGATGCTTCTCAGAGAATTGCATTTACCTGACTTAGGTTTCAAATCAATAGAAACCAGGAACTTTGAGAGCCTGGGGAAGAGAGAGACATTACTGCTTTGGCTACTGCAGGAAAGGTGGAGGTTACAAATCTTCCTGACTCGCTCCTGGATGGCCAATTTTCCAAATACTGTGCATTTTTTATGCAAATCATTCCGAATGAAGGTGATCTGGAAATAGAAGAAACTTACCAGTTAAGATATGAGAAAAGGAGAATGGTGTGATACATTTGAATGCATGGTGAATGTGGAAGGGTTTCCCTAGCTGTAAAATGAAAGTCATCATAATTGCTTACATTGATATTTTGCTTTAAAAAAAAAACCTTTCCTTTTAACAATTTTTTGAAGAAGGTAGGATATTTGCACAACCACCCTCACAAAGCTATTCTGAGGAAACTATTTTAAAGGCTAACCAACTGAGACATAGACAGCGTATTTGTCAAATCCATTGGTGACACAAAGCTTATGTTTTGTCCCCCCTGGGAGGCTATGCCCCTAACTCCCAGTAGAAAGAGTAGATTGGGTGTTTAGAATGTGGCTGACATCTACTGCCCTCAGGGTACTATGGAGTACTGTCACCCATGAGCCCCCATTAGTGTGCTTCACATCATTTATTAGCAAGAATTAATTAACTTTTAGATAGGGTATTTAAAAAGCAGGTCTATCAAGGAGAGATGTTATAGAAACACCTCACTAAACCAAGGGCCCCTGGAGACTAAACATGGTCCTTGGAGAGAGAGCACTCAAACACAGAAAAGTACATGTGGCGAAAAGGGCAAACTGGTCACTCTTGATGACTGCAAAGTTGTTTTTTTCTCTTGCTTTGTGGGGTCTCATGTTGTTCCCTTTAGTTGTAGGTCTCTACTGGGCTCTGGCCTTCCTCCCCCAGGAGCAATTCTCTCTCATGAGTTCTTCTACAATTTAGCGTGGTCCCGAAGTGGTGTGGTCTGCCTCCAGAGACATTGGGCTCCCACTTACTGAAGATCTTCAAGCAGAGGCTGGGTGAACACTCGTGTATGATACAAAGGAGAATCTTGGCTAGCTATGGGTTGGCCTGGAAGATCTCCTGAGGTCCCTTCTACCTATGAAATTAGGTGATTATGTGTTCTCAAGAATGCAGCTGTTACTGAACTCACGACTTAGTCATCATTGACCAGCTCTTGGCATACGATCGGTCTTAAGACCTCCAGAAGCTCACCATAAGTTATCAGTTATATAATAATGAGTTTATATATATGTGTGTGTGTGTGTGTGTGTGTGTGTGTGTGTGTGTATATATGTATGTATATATATATGTGTGTGTATATATGTATGTATATGTATATGTGTGTGTGTGTATATATATATGTATGTATATATATATGTGTGTGTGTGTATATATATGTATGTATATATATATGTGTGTGTGTGTGTATATATGTATGTATTATGTGTGTGTGTGTGTGTGTATATATGTATGTATATATATGTGTGTGTGTATATATATGTATGTATACCATATGTTATATAATAATAATAATAATAATAACAGTTCCTCTTTCTAGAACACTTTAGCATTTATCGGATGCTTTCCTTACAGCAGTCCTGTGGGGTAGGTAATAAAATTGGCATCATTTCCATTTGACAGATAAAGAAACCAAGGGACACCCAGGTTAAATGATACAAAGGCACACAAGTAATGAATGTTGGCAGTGGCTTGGAACTGAAGTCTCTCAGCACTCACAAGCTCTTTCTGTGTTCTCTTCTAGTTCAGCCCACTACGGAAGACTCTCCCCGGGGATGATGCAGGGGAAAACAAACACAGGCACATAGGACAAATTGACCAGGTAACCCGATTCAACAGAGTGTTACTCTGTATCTCTTATTCTTTCCTGACAACACACTCAGCTCTGCAGTAAAAGGACCGATCAATCAAACAATCACTCAACAAGCATTCATTAAGAGTCTAGCACTATCTACCAAGCAGGAAACGTGGATTCAGAAGCCAGGCCAGCTCCACTTTTACAAGCTGCCTTCAGACAGCTTCGGAGTAGGAGACAGGGTTGTGCCTTTGCTAAGGCTGCTGGGTCTTTCTGCCCACACATCGATCGCTCGGCCTCCCTGAGTGTGGCGATCCCTTCCCCCTTGTGCTGGCCATATTTCTTGCAAAATGTCCCTGCTTCTACATCCAAGGCTAGTGAACATGATTTAATATTTTCTTTCTTTATGAATATCAGTTATGGTATTTTGAGATAGTAGCTCTATGTCTGCCTTTTTTTTATTTTAGGCAATTGGGGTTAAGTGACTTGCCCAGGGTCACACAGCTAGTAAGCGTCAAGTGTTTGGTCTGAGGCCAGATTTGATCTATGTCTGCTTTTGAGCAGCTAGGTGGCACCATAAAATAGAACACTGGGCCTAGAGTCAAGAAGATCTAAGTTCAAATCTTGCCTCAGACACATACTAGCTGTGTGACCCTGGGCAAGTCACTTAACTTTGCCTCAGTTTCCTCATCTGTAAGATGATCGGGAGAAGGAAATGGCAAACCCCTCTAGTATCTCTGCCAAGAAAACCCCAAATGGGGTCACAGAGAGTCAGACATGACTGAACAACAATAATAAATGCCTGCTTTTTAGTTTTTCTTCCTCCTGTCTCAGGGATTCAGCAGCAACTAACTGTCAGCACTTTGGTAAAAGGACAGCTCCAAGTGCTTGCTGCTTTATGTTTCCCTTATGGAACCAAGGAAGTAAGTAAATAGTAGGAATATACAAAAGAGGGAAAGTGGGACTCACTGAGAGCACAATAGAGCTGCTGCTCTTGTGGAAACTTCAAGAAGTTTGAGTTGCCATTGGAGAGTGCTTCAGTTTCCAGAGAAGCACCAGGGTTCATAGAGGATACGGCTGCCTTTGGGCGTTCCCAAGTCCTGTTCCAGACCCAGGAATGTCTCTGTATGTCCTTCGTAGGATTCCTCCCTTGGGGATTGCGTGTGGCTACCACACATGTGCATGCATGTGCATACACACACATACTCCTGTTTTTTCCTGCCCCTGGGCTTTGATATGTCCACAAAATACCACCGCACTGGCTGTGGGCCAGGCCTCTTCCTAGATTTAAGTGAGTCTCATGCAGCCTCTCCAACCTGAGGACAATGGTGTCAAACTCATACAGAAACTGGGCCATTAAAGCATACACAAGAATGCCTGAAGGCCACGTATTGGTTCAGAAGACCACACATTAACATTGTCTCTGTTCTATTGTATTTAATTTAATTTGTTAATTTTTCCCATTACATTTTCATCTGATTCAGGTGAACTCAGGAGTGTTAGCTGTGGCATTGCAGTGGGTAGGTTGTGTGTTGCACACCTCTGCTCTAGGCTGCTGCTCAGCCAGCCCCACCTGTTCATGATTCCACTCCATCTTCCTTTCAGCTGATTGGAGAGCCCTGACATTACACCCTATCTCTACCTGCTTCCCAGAGGACCCAGCTTCCTTCTAGTTTGCTGCTCCCAACATTTGATCCAGGAGGGAATTGTCAGGAATTCTAAGGCAAACATGGATCTATTTTTTGGGAAGAAAAGACATGGGCCTCAGTGACAGTGACAGAACTTCAAGGTTCTTCTGGCTGTGCATCTGCTACCCTGGAGAGCTGGTGTGACAAGAAAGTTGACCTCTGAACAAGTGTATCAGAGAATTCCATACCTAGCAAAGGGTCCTGTGGGAGAGAACTAGGAGAGATGGAGTAGCAGGAAGACGGAGTAACAGGAACCCAGATAACCTGGGTTCAAATCTCAGCTCTGCCTCTTGCTCATCTGTATGACCTTGTTCAAGTCACTTAAATTCTCAATCTGTGAAATGAGAGGGTTGAACTCGATGGCCTCTGGGGTCCTTTACAATTCTTTATCTATGATGCTATGACCTCAGCAGCCACCTAGCCTGACCCATACCTGATAAACGATCCCCATTTTAATGTGCCTGGCCAACAGCTACTCAACCTTTGCTTGAAGACCCAGGATAAGAAGCACAGCCAGCCTCTTTCACTTCTGGAGACACTGAATTATTAAGCAGTTTTCCCTTCCTAACCTTAAGTCTGCTTCTTAGCAATTGCTTCCTCACCCCTTGCTCTTGATGCTGCACTTTGGGAGCAAACTAACCAAGTATAACTCTTTGTGAGTCCCAGCAGTATTAACACAAAATCAACATAAGATGACCCAAAGTGCAAACATTGCCGTCACCTTCCCTACTCTCCCCATTCTTCTTTCCCTATGGCCCACTCTTTCACTCTCCTCCCCACCTTGCCCTGCTCTCTGCCCCTTTTTCCATTCCTCCCTTGTCTTCCAGGGCTTTCTTGTCTCTGATTCCTTTTGCCTTTGTCTACAAAGACTCCGTTCGGGAGTCAAGGCAGGCTGACTTCTAGGAAGAAGCGTTCAAACTGTTTCCTGCATCAAAAGAGAGCTCACCAAAGGGGGCCCGCTCGAAGGTCCGCAGCAGGCTTCCAAATAGAAGGAAAGCAAATGTGGGGAGGGCTGGAGAGACGGCACTTTGTAATTAAAGACAAAATGAAACTGATTCCTGAGTTATCATTTCACTTCTGTCAGCAGGAGATGACTTCCATATAACAGACCAATTTAATTTCTTCTTTTTAAAATAAATTATATTCATGTCTTGTGGGAAGGGTATCAGTTTTGGATATATTCCATTTCTGCCACTCCCCCTTCTTCCCCTATGCAGTAGCCCCCCACTTTTTTTTTTTACAACAAAGAAAAAGGATTAAGCAAAAACAAGTAAGGACCACATCTGACAATGCATGTAGTAGTCCACACCCATAGTCCCCTACCTCTCCAATGAAAGGAGGAAATGTATTTCTTTATCTCTTCTCCCATGCTAAGGTTAGATCAGATCAATTGCCATCATGCCAGTCCACAGCCAAAATTGCCACAGGCAGGGAACTATTTCTATTCCCTCTTACACGCTCCACAATTTTACCCACCATGATGAATGTACTTTCTGGCTGTGTGACCCTAACCAAATTGATTCACCTCTCTGGATGACAATTTCATTAGCTGAAAAATAGGGAAATGCTTGTGCTACTCATCTCCCTGGGGTGTTGTGCGAAAGAGCTTTCTGCACCTTGAAGTGCTAGTGAAATGATATGCATAACAAACATGAGCCTACCTTTGACCCAGCAACACCACTACAAGGTCTGTATCCCCAAAGAGATAATAAAAATAGGAAAAGGACCCCCCGTGCAAAAATATCTATAGCAGCTTCTTGTACTGTAGAAAGAGCTGGAAATTGAGAGGATGCCCATCAATTGGGGAATGGCTGAACAAGTCGTGGTATATGAATGTAATGGAACATTATTACGCTGTAAGACATGATGAGCAGGCAGACTTCAGAAAAACCTGGAAAGACTTGTGTGGTCTCATGCTGAGTGAAGGGAGCAGAACCAGAAGAACGTTTTACACAGTAACAGCCACAATGTGTGATAACTGACTTTGATAGACTTGGCTCTTCTCAGCAATGCAAGGTTCGAAGAGAACTCCAAAAGACTCACAATGGAAAATGCTATCCACATCCAGAGAAAGAACTGTGGAGTCTGAATGTGGATGGAAGCAGACTATTTGCTCTCCTTTTTCTTAGTTGTTTTGTTTCATAGCTTCATTCTCGTAGTTCCTCCCATTAGTTCTAATTGCTCTTTACATCATGACTAATGGGAAAATATGCTTAATATGAATGTGTAAGTAGAGCCTATATCAGATTGCACACCATTTTGGGTTGGGGGAGAAGAGAGAGAGGGGGAGAAAATTTAAAACTCAAAATCTTATGGAAGTGAGTGTTGAAAACTAAAAATAAATAATTTTAAAAATAAAATTAAAAAAATTAGTGTATCAAATATGCATATTCACTACAGGGTGCCCCAAAAATATTTGTGCAGTTTTAAGTTTATTAAAGCTTAAACACTCTCTAACAACTATATATGTAAATGTGTGTGTATATATGATGTATATATACACATATAAGGTATCTATACATACATGCATGTATATATAATGTTTATATATACATGTTAATTATATATATATGTGTGTGTGTGTGTGTGTGTGTGTGTGTGTGTGTGTGCATTGTATATATTCCAATATTCTAATGGAGCTGTGATCTCATCAATGTTGAGTGGAAAAGTGGTTTGATTCCTGACTCTGACACTTACTTAACTTCTGTGACCTCTAGCCCTCCATTTCCAAAAAAAAATGTGAGTATTTATCTGACCCAGGGGTTCTTAAAATTCTTTGTGTCATTAACCCATAAGAACAACAACAACAACAATAATAATAACCACTAGTGTTCATTTAGTATCTACTATGTACCAGGCCCTATACTAAGTACTTTATAATTTTTATCTTATTTTATCTTTTCAACAATTCTGGGAGGTAAATACTATTATTATCTTCATTTCACAGTTGAAGAAACTGAGGCAAACAGTAGTTAAGACACTTGCCTAAGGTCATATGAAAAGTGTCTATGGCAGGATTTGAACTCAGGTCTTCCTGACTCCAGGACCAGTTCTCTACCCACTATACCACCTACCTGTCCTGGGCAGGCTGGTCAAACCTATGGACCTCTTCTCAGGGTAATGCTCTGAAATATATAAAATAAAATACATTGGAATGCAAAGGAAATTATTATTTTGGCATACCGTTACCAGTTTTGTTATTTTTTTCTTAGGCAAAAAAAACAAGTACCTGGATTCCACGTAAAGAAGATATGATGTGAACAGTCTCTGGCATCCCTCCCAGCTCCAAGCCCTCATATATGGGTATTCCCACCAATGAGGCAGAGAACATCAGTCTCTACTTGCCCAGCCCATGGGACTCTCCTTCCACAGGCTTGCCACTGGGAGGGTCCACCAGTATACTGGAGGTCTTCCTCACTGCATCTTGGCATCACAAACATACCAATGGCACTGTCCATCAGTCATCTCTCACTTTCACCATGTGACTGGTTGATCTTTTTTTTTTCTCCCGAGCATACTTTTTTTAATAAAACTAAAGAAAGTGTATGCACACATTTTATTATGGAGCAACACTGCCTATTTTATTTGTGTAGGGAACTCTAAGTATTGAAATTCCCTCCACAAGCACTAAAAGCTTAAGTGAGTTGCCCAAGGACATGCAGCTTTTATCAGAGGCAGGACTCTGGTTATTCTCATTTCAAAACTGACTCTTCAGTTCCTATGACACTGTGCAAATAATGACTAGCATTTGAATAGCACTTTAAAGTGTACATATTTTATCCAATTTGGGGAGGCAGGTGTTATTATTATGCCCATTTTACAGATGAAAGAACTAAGGCAGACAGAGGTTAAGTGACTTGCCCAAGTCAAGGCATGCATAAGTCATGCAGCTAGCATATGAGGCAGGATTTGAACTCAGATATTCCTCACTGCGGGTCCGGTGTTCTAGCCGTCACACCATCTAGATGTCTCATGTTGTGCCCCACTCTATGTCATCTACAGTAATTCAGTGCTGGTTGGTTGATCGATATCTTTAACTATCTAGATTTAGATGAATAACTGAATGAAAAGCCACTTATTAACTGCTTGCTATGTGCCAAGAGGATAAGAGAGAAGATACATCTGGAAATGACTGTGATGTAAAACAAAAGGCATTGATAAAACCCAAAAAGAGACTTGGCATATGTTTCAACACTGGAATTTAAGGGTTTCTGAGGTGGACACAAAGGAAACTGAGTCACCAGGTTATTCAAAAAGCAGGATCACTTCAGTGGCTTTTAATCAAGATGAAGCCATGTGAAAGGTCAGGAGACACGGTAAGAGTGTAAGCCTGCAGCAGGACCTGCCTCCTTTAACTCCCTTAACTATGTGATTCCAGACCTTCCCCGTGGCCAGAAGAGGAGAGATCGGTGGGACTGGGAGATCTGGGCAGGTGGGACAGGCAAATTGCATCTGCTTGCTACTTGTGGCTTCTGGCATGGCCACTGAGCTGCTGTGGCTGTGACAGCAGCTGAGTGCTGCAACAGAGCAGCTAGAGCAGATCCTGGGGAGCTGTAGGGACCATGGCAAAGATTTGAAGTGACAATTGGGTCAAAGTGCAATGGGGCCAAAGTGGGAGATAGGGATCAGCAGCCCACTACCATAGAATGGAATGTGCATGAGCAGACAAGCAGCTGTCATAAAACCTTGTTTCTAAGGAGACTGAAAGAGGCTATTTCTAACCGGCAGAGATTTCCTGCCCCTGCTTCCATTTTCTCGATTGCTTACCAAGCCAGTCTCATTGAGTTCTAAATGCATGCGCCTCCATCTCTAATCCTTGTCCCCAGGCCCTGGTCAGGAGGGAGGATCTGAAGGAGAGTGGATCTGGTGACATAGCTTCTTTTCAGTTTAACAATATGCCATCTCTTTCACAATTACTTAACTTTGTTTTAATAAACCACCTACACACTAAAATTCCCATCATCTAAGCCTTATGAAAGAAGGTGGTCAGTCAAGAGTAGGGCATTTCTGAAGATTTCCATATTTTTAATATTTCAGGGCGATTTTTTTTCAATTTTTTTCTCCATAACCCTAGATCAATATTCACTTGGGTCCACCAGCACCCAGATGTCAACGGCTGACCAGGCTCCAACCAGCAGGAGGAGAAGAAGTCTAGCAGTCTGTAAATAAGCACCATCTGGTGAGCCATGAGGGAGGGTAGGACTGTGACCCTGCATGTTGGACATCCTCAAACAAAATGACTGAGCTGGTGGCTGGAAGGTGTCTAAAGTATGCATTACACCCGCTAGGTGCTCAATTAATTGACAACTTGCTTTTTCTAT